ACTGACTGGATGTAAGGATGGCAGGGTTAGGGATGTATGGATGACTGACTGGATGTAAGGATGGCAGGGTTAGGGATGTATGGATGACTGACTGGATGTAAGGATGGCAGGCGTCAGGCGAAATAGCACGTCATCGTACATTTGAGATCAGCGGGAAGAAGATGACGATGTCCACTAATTTAGTATCTGTGCACACGAATCTGCTGTGTGTGTGCCTCTGTGTGTCAGCTATGATATCATCTTCTGTGGTTCCATGCCTAGCATGTACGTCTGAACCATCCTGCAAAGTTTGAATGACGTAGGTTGAGCGATCGCTCCGCGAAATATACTTTTTGAAATTCTCTTCATAGTATATCTTCCACCATTGAAATTTCGAATTTCTTCAAAAAAAGTGCTGAGAGGGGTGGCTTGCAACCTCGATATGGCTTGTTCCAGGTATGCTTTGGAGCCATCTTCTGTTGAAGTAGTGGCGGGGATCTGCCCTGCAACTGCTACAACAAAAAATGATTCGATCTGAGAAAGGGTGAGACCGCGAATCTCGGTTGAATATTGAGTATTTCAAGCCTTTTCACGACGAAGATGGAGTTCTTTTTGGAGATGGACGTCGCGGCAAAGGACATGGTGTCTGACGTCCGGCGTCTGGTGAAGCCAGGGATCATTTGTCCAGTCAGGTCGGCAGCCTAACCGTCGGTAAGCTTGTGTTTGGATACCGTTCTGCTCGATGTGGTAGATCACAAACAATTTGATATCGCACAAATTGATCTCAGCATCGTGCGTACGGTATTTTATATTCAGAAAATCCCAAAGTGTCTCTGTGTGGTCGTCCTATGCCACGAGAAACTCCAATCAGGCTCCTATGTCCTCTGCCTTCATGATTGAATGTCCACTTCGTTTGAACAACGAACACAACAATCGAGGACGGCTTTGCAATGAAAAATACAGCTATACTGGAGCTGAAAAAAAGAAGAAAAAAACGTACTCAGGATGAGACTCGAGTACACGCATACTCTCCCAGCAGGTGAAACGCAAATTTTTGTGAAAAATGCGTGACGCCGACTGACCAGTAATTTCGCCTGACGGTTAGGGATGTATGGATGACTGACTGGATGTAAGGATGGCAGGGTTAGGGATGTAGGGATGTCTGACTGGATGTAAGGATGGCAGGGTTAGGGATGTATGGATGACTGACTGGATGTAAGGATGGCAGGGTTAGGGATGTATGGATGACTGACTGGATGTAAGGATGGCAGGGTTAGGGATGTATGGATGACTGACTGGATGTAAGGATGGCAGGGTTAGGGATGTATGGATGACTGACTGGATGTAAGGATGGCAGGGTTAGGGATGTATGGATGACTGCCTGGATGTAAGGATGGCAGGGTTAGGGATGTATGGATGACTGACTGGATGTAAGGATGGCAGGGTTAGGGATGTATGGATGACTGACTGGATGTAAGGATGGCAGGGTTAGGGATGTATGGATGACTGACTGGATGTAAGGATGGCAGGGTTAGGGATGTATGGATGACTGACTGGATGTAAGGATGGCAGGGTTAGGGATGTATGGATGACTGACTGGATGTAAGGATGGCAGGGTTAGGGATGTATGGATGACTGACTGGATGTAAGGATGGCAGGGTTAGGGATGTATGGATGACTGACTGGATGTAAGGATGGCAGGGTTAGGGATGTATGGATGACTGACTGGATGTAAGGATGGCAGGGTTAGGGATGTATGGATGACTGACTGGATGTAAGGATGGCAGGGTTAGGGATGTAGGGATGTCTAACTGGATGTAAGGATGGCAGGGTTAGGGATGTATGGATGACTGACTGGATGTAAGGATGGCAGGGTTAGGGATGTATGGATGACTGACTGGATGTAAGGATGGCAGGGTTAGGGATGTATGGATGACTGACTGGATGTAAGGATGGCAGGGTTAGGGGGGTATGGATGACTGACTGGATGTAAGGATGGCAGGGTTAGGGATGTATGGATGACTGACTGGATGTAAGGATGGCAGGGTTAGGGATGTATGGATGACTGACTGGATGTAAGGATGGCAGGGTTAGGGATGTATGGATGACTGACTGGATGTAAGGATGGCAGCGTTAGGGATGTATGGATGACTGACTGGATGTAAGGATGGCAGGGTTAGGGATGTAGGGATGACTGACTGGATGTAAGGATGGCAGGGTTAGGGGTGTATGGAGGACTGACTGGATGTAAGGATGGCAGGGTTAGGGATGTATGGATGACTGACTGGATGTAAGGATGGCAGGGTTAGGGATGTATGGATGACTGACTAGATGTAAGGATGGCAGGGTTAGGGATGTATGGATGACTGACTGGATGTAAGGATGGCAGGGTTAGGGATGTATGGATGACTGACTGGATGTAAGGATGGCAGGGTTAGGGATGTATGGATGACTGACTGGATGTAAGGATGGCAGGGTTAGGGATGTATGGATGACTGACTGGATGTAAGGATGGCAGGGTTAGGGATGTATGGATGACTGACTGGATGTAAGGATGGCAGGGTTAGGGATGTATGGATGACTGACTGGATGTAAGGATGGCAGGGTTAGGGATGTATGGATGACTGACTGGATGTATGGATGACTGACTGGATGTAAGGATGGCAGGGTTAGGGATGTATGGATGACTGACTGGATGTAAGGATGGCAGGGTTAGGGATGTATGGATGACTGACTGGATGTAAGGATGGCAGGGTTAGGGATGTATGGATGACTGACTGGATGTAAGGATGGCAGGGTTAGGGATGTATGGATGACTGACTGGATGTAAGGATGGCAGGGTTAGGGATGTATGGATGACTGACTGGATGTAAGGATGGCAGGGTTAGGGATGTATGGATGACTGACTGGATGTAAGGATGGCAGGGTTAGGGATGTATGGATGACTGACTGGATGTAAGGATGGCAGGGTTAGGGATGTATGGATGACTGACTGGATGTAAGGATGGCAGGGTTAGGGATGTATGGATGACTGACTGGATGTAAGGATGGCAGGGTTAGGGATGTATGGATGACTGACTGGATGTAAGGATGGCAGGGTTAGGGATGTATGGATGACTGACTGGATGTAAGGATGGCAGGGTTAGGGATGTATGGATGACTGACTGGATGTAAGGATGGCAGGGTTAGGGATGTATGGATGACTGACTGGATGTAAGGATGGCAGGGTTAGGGATGTATGGATGACTGACTGGATGTAAGGATGGCAGGGTTAGGGATGTATGGATGTCTGACTGGATGTAAGGATGGCAGGGTTAGGGATGTATGGATGACTGACTGGATGTAAGGATGGCAGGGTTAGGGATGTATGGATGACTGACTGGATGTAAGGATGGCAGGGTTAGGGATGTATGGATGACTGACTGGATGTAAGGATGGCAGGGTTAGGGATGTCTGGATGACTGACTGGATGTAAGGATGGCAGGGTTAGGGATGTCTGGATGACTGACTGGATGTAAGGATGGCAGGGTTAGGGATGTATGGATGACTGACTGGATGTAAGGATGGCAGGGTTAGGGATGTATGGATGTCTGACTGGATGTAAGGATGGCAGGGTTAGGGATGTATGGATGTCTGACTGGATGTAAGGATGGCAGGGTTAGGGATGTATGGATGTCTGACTGGATGTAAGGATGGCAGGGTTAGGGATGTATGGATGACTGACTGGATGTAAGGGTGGCAGGGTTAGGGATGTATGGATGTCTGACTGGATGTAAGGATGGCAGGGTTAGGGATGTCTGTTCTCCTGTAAACTAATGTACAGTAGAACCTGTGACTAACAACCACCCCTTGGTTCCAGAGAAAGCGGTCTTTAGTGGCAGGTGGTCCTTCGTTAGAGGTTTGCGCCGCACAACCATTATATGAATGTGAGACCGTCCGTGCCTGGCAAAGTGGTCTGTAGTACCAGGCTAGTTGCTAGTCACGGTGGTCTTTAGTTTTTTGAATTCTTCATTCTCAAGATGGCACCATCGCCAATAAGAGATACATTTATGAGAAGGTGTTAGTTACAGGTTTTACTCTACATGTATATGTACCGTACTGGCAATATATGTTGCCGCGTAACGCGTAACGCAGGGGGGTGCGGCGTAACGCGCGACCAGGCTAGTGCGACACATTTTCGTTGAGTTCGTAACGCGCGTCCGGCGGGGTGCGGCGATCTTTTCATTGCAGTTTGCACTGCAAAAAAAAGGCTGAAAACTGTGAAAGCACGTGTACCGCGTGGTGAAAAGTAGTTTTTGGAGGAAGCGCTCTTCCCCTATGTCACTTTCCTTTAAAAAAATTGATGATCTTTTTGTGAACAGATCACTCTGATAGTTAAAATATACAGTCTTCTATTGATATCGTTGTCGCCCTTTGCCGTCGGGTTTGTAACAGTTGGATAGCAACTGAATTTCTGTGCCTTCAATGTGGATGAAAAGAAAAAATGATGCGGCACAAGCAAAAAAATGATGGGGCAATAGCAAAAAGTGATGCGGCAATAGCAAAAAAAGGACTGCGGCAATATAGAAACCTGTGTAACGGCTCCTGTGCGACTTTGCATGTAACGCCCTGCGTGCGGCAAACATGTGCCAATGTAACGCTTCATGGCCTCACTGCGGCAACATATATTGCCAGTACGGTATATGTTTCAGTGGTAATATTACTACTCTTTTCAGTGGTAATATTACTACTCTTTTCAGTCTTTTGTCACTTTTGTTAAAAAATAGTGATGTCATATGCCATAATCTGTGGCATTTCCCCATCAAAAGGTATGTGGGATTTTTTTGGAAGAATTTGTAGCCAAGAGACCGTTTTTGAGTAGTGGTGTATAGCTGTGTGAAAATGTACGTGATTCGGAGTTACGGACGTTTCAAAGTTACTCGCGGTGCGCGGTCCCTAACCACCCGGATAAACGAGGTATGGATTTTTCTACATGAACTTGTTACCCTGTGTGCTCATTGTCTCTCCTTTTATCCATCCAGAAATTGACAGCGTTCAGCGCAGTACAGAGCCGTGGGTCTTAGCATATGTCAACCAGTTGCTATCTACGCTTCTTGTCGTGCCGGTACGTCCTGCACTGCTGTTCTGCCTGTCACAAAGCGCTCCTGGCTTCCCATGGTTTCCCTGTGGTATCTCTGCGATTTCTCTGTGGTTTTTCTGCCAGTTCCCCGTGGTTTTCTGTGGTTTGTGGATTCTCTGAAGATTCTCTGTAATTTTCCCACAGTTTTTTTTCTGTTTGTGTATTCTCTGTGGATTCGCTGCAATTTCCCCACGGTTTTTTCTGTGGTTTATGGATTCTCTGAAGATTCTCTGTAACTTCCCGATGGATTTTCTGTGCTTTGTGCATTCTCTGATGATTCTCTGCAGTATCTTTGAGTAAGTTTAGTAGTTTAGTTTGATAGACTTTGTGTGAAAAATATTTCTTTCGAACTTTCTGGACACTTGCTGCTGCTGTTTCGATATCGGGTCTCCTTCTGCTGTTGTTGCTGTTGCTCCGTGTGTAGGATCATCCAGAGCGTGAGCCATTGTGGATTCTCCGGGGCCTGATGAATGTCGTGCGGGAATACGCATGGTGAGTTGGACCTGCCAACACTCGGCTGCGAAATGATGCAAGGCGCAAACTTGAGTGACGCGATTGGATTAGACCGTATCAATTTGAGTGAAATGTGTTGGGCAAAACAGCAATAGTATCTATGTGTGGGTGTATCTGTGTGTGTGTGTGTGTGTGTGTGTGTGTGTGTGTGTGTGTGTGTGTGTGTGTGTGTGTGTGTGTGTGTGTGTGTGTGTCCCATATGGTGCAGTGGTATGTGCAGCGATTTCCAATCGATATGTTGCGGGTTCGATTCCCGACAATTATGGTCACACACGTCTTTCTTCTCTTTCTCAGACTCTTCCTGACTTTTCTTTCATTCTTCTGGGTGGTTACCGACAGCCAGTGCATGCCGGAGTATGTGGTGTGATGTGTGTGCGGGAAAAAAAAAGAAGTAAAAAAAAGACCAAAAAGTAGGGATTCACTGGCCAGAAAAAGCCACTTCATAGCTGTGTGGTGTAGACCAGGCTGAATAGTGGCGGCCAATTCTTCAGCCTTGCAAGCTGTTGAATGGTGCAATCCCAGCTCAAGTTGCTATGGCTTCTGCTGTAGCATCGCTATCATCGCCTCCGGCGATGGGCGTCCAATGGTCCAATGGTGTGTGTGTGTGCGTGTGTGTGTGTGTGTGTGTGTGTGTGTGTGTGTGTGTGCACATGCGCGCACGTGTGTGTGTGTGTGTGTGTTTGTGTGTGTGTGTTTGTGTGTGTGTGTTTGTGTGTGTGTGTGTTTGTGTGTGTGTGTTTGTGTGTGTGTGTGTTTGTGTGTGTGTTTGTGTGTGTGTGTTTGTGTGTGTGTTTGTGTGGGTGTGTTTGTGTGTGTGTTTGTGTGGGTGTGTGGGTGGGTGTGTGTGTTTGTATGGGTGTGGGTGTGTATATGTGCACTTCCATTATACCATCTTGACAGGGACGAGCAATCCGACGCCAAGGCTCAAATCTCCCTCAACATCTTGTCACTGTTGTGTGCAGCTAGTCAGGTAAGTCAGTGTGGTTGCTATCCTTTCTGTGTGCTGAAAGGCAGGTAAGTCAGTGTGGTTGCTATCCTTTCTGTATGCTGAAAGGCAGGCACCGTAGAATCTCATTAAAAGAGGAACACTGACATGTCAAACTTCCGCAAGTAGTGTTCATGACGGTTTACCTCTGTTATGACAAACCGTAGTAATTCCGTTGGTCCGTTTGTGTGTGTCAAAAGAGGTTTGACTGTATGTTTGAGACTACTCATGATCAACAGCTAATGCACCGGGGAGTCACAGCGTGTAGTAAGACGACACAAGACCGTACTACAGTAAAACCATGTGTGAGTTTCAACTCCATATATGAACGTTCTACCTGAGTCGTACTCACTGCACGTTGCGATGGTGATTAGTACTGATTACACCCTCGACCTGCTGACCCCAAGCGTGTCTTGAACCAACTATGCTATAATGCCAGCGGGCATAAATCAGCCCTGCCGCAAACGAGCCTGGAAAGGCTGGAAACTTATGTGATTCAACTTCCACTCCACTGTTTGAATTTGTTTCCTCTGCGTTTGTGTACGCACGTGCACGTGTTTGTGTTTGTACATGTGTGTTTGTTTGACCAGGACGAGTATAGCTACACTATCAAGAAAGGTGAGACATACTGAACACTGGCTCACTTTACAATTGCTCTGAATAAGGATCGGCCATAAATTTCAAAGCCTGTTGTTTGCAGAATCACCACTGACACCTTGAGTACATAAACCCTGCAACTCGGGCAGAATGACTCCGCGCCAAAGTTATTTTGTGAAGGTATCCGTGATTCACCATTGCTACACGACACACCGGTTTGCATCTGGCCATTTTAATGTGTCACCGAGGTAGTTTCTGCTGCGCATTGCTGCTTGTCGTACAGAAGGTGGAAATGCACGCGCATTCGCCTTTATTACCTTCGTGCGACGGTGACTTGGTCATGAACCTTGGCTATGGTATGATGCCATATTATTATCCTGTGAGGCTACTACGCATGATGAGTTATTTGGTATTATTAGGCAGCTCTGGAAAACGGGTTGCGTTCTCATTCCTACTCACTGCAAGCATTGCCCGCCACAGATGAAATTTCTATACGAATGTCCATGTTTGTAATGTGTATGAAGAAATATCGTTTCGCTTTTCGATGTTCGTCTGTGTGCGTGCGCGCTTGTGTGTGTGTGTGTGTGTGTGTATCTGTGTGTCTGTGTGTGCATGCATGTGTGTGTTTGTGTGTCTGTGTGTGTGTATGTGTGCGCGTGTATGCGTGTGTGTGCGTATGCATATTTTGTCTCTTACGGACAGTGGAGAGCAATGACCAGTTGTACGCTGCAGACCGGAAGTTCATCGAGGCACTTTCCGAGATTATCAACGGTGTGATTGACGAATTGTTTGACATCTTGAAGCAGCTTGGCAGTCGTAAAGAGGTGAGTTAGCTTGGCGCTGGCTTCTAAAGTGTGTGCAGGTGTGTGTCTGGGTGTGTGCTCGCACGTTTGTGTGCGTTTGCGTGTGTGTGGGTGTGTGTGTGTCCACGCATGCATGTAAGTGTACGTGCACCAGGTTCGGATTAGGGTACTAGTAAGCAGTGACCGGGAATAAGTATGGATTTCAACCCCCATCGGTATCTTTTTTTAATATACATGTACTTGAATTTTATAGTTGAATATGAAAAAAAATGAATTCCCCTCTCCTGGCCTGGTGCTACCCACAGTCCCACATATCCGGGGATTTCCCCCTTTCCCAGTGGGACCCACCTATCCGGGGATTTCCCCCTCTCCCAGTAGCACCCACTTATCTGGGGGTTCCCTCTCCCAGTGAGACTCATAAGCAGGGATTTCTTCCTCTCCCAATGGGACCTACATGTCCAGGATATTCACAGACTCCTCTCCAGCAAGACCCATATAGCTCGTTTTTCCCCTCTTGGGTGGGACCCTTTGTAGCAGGCGCCTAGGCATTGTACCCTCTCCCAGTGAGACCCACATAGCAGGGACTTCCCCCTCTCCCAGTAGGACCCGCATATCTGGGGTTTCTCTTCTCCCAGTGGGATCCACATAGCTGGGATTTCCCCTCTCTGAGTGGGATCCACATAGCTGGGATTTCCCCTCTCTGAGTGGGATCCACATAGCTGGGATTTCCCCTCTCTGAGTGGGATGTACATAGCTGGGATTTCCCCTCTCTGAGTGAGACGCTTGCAGCAGCGACTGTACCATCTCTCCTTATATGTTGGATCTATTCAGCGATGATTTCCGAGTTTGTGTGTGTGCACGCGTGTGTGTGTGTGTGTGTGTGTGTGTGTGTGTGTGTGCGTGTGTGCGTATGTTCACGTTTGTGCATGTGTTCTTGTGTGTGCACATGTGCACGTGTGTGTGTGCACGTGTGTGTGCACGTGTGCTCTTCTCCTTGCAGACAATCCCGAAACAAGCCGCCCTTGCTTTGCAGCTTGTCAAGATGTAAGTAATAGTGTTACTAGAATACTGTCGGGCGCCGAAGGACGACCAGGCTAGGATTTCCCCATGCACACCATATCAATGTACAGTCAACTTTGCGTATAACGACACTCGGTGGGGCATCAGAAAAGTGTCCTTATTCGCGAAGTCTCCTTACACCCGAAGTCTCACTATATGTTTACAGATAGAATGGACTTTGCTCTGGGCATGGAAATTCTGTCGTTATTCGCGAATTGTCGTTATATCCGCAGTCGTTAATAGCGAAGTTGAGTGTATACCCGGCGACTCAACTGTGCATAGACTGTACTACGCTCATACCTCGTTTAGCCTGACGGTATGAAATGTCCCTAACTCGGAATGACATGAATTTTTATGGGGAAAGGCCATAGATATGGGATATGTGTGATTGGACTCAAGCGGAGAGCCAAGGATGAAATTAGTTAGGTGTAGAACGTCGCTATCGTCGGTCAGTGTCGTGCAATGTTATCGCGTGAGCTGATTGTTTAGCAACTGGTGGTGTTAGTGGACATTATACCGTAACTTGTAGTTCCTTGGTCCTCATTTCTTCTTATTATGAGATATGACGTCACTATTTCCCCAAAGGTGACAAAAAAGTAGTAATATTTCCACAATGACAGTTTTCACCTACGTTTGTACACGTAGCTACTCAATCTGCGGACAGAGCTGCTTCGTCCTTTGTGGACTCTTCAGCGCAGCGCAGAGAAAATGAGGCCGAACCTGAAAGCAATGAAAATACTATTTTCCAAGGCCAGGTTTAGGCCCCTTGCACACTACGTACAAGTAAAAAGTTGCTTTTTAGCGTATGCGTCATTTTCAAGCAAGTCCCGATCAGTTCCATTGCACACTTGAAAAGACATTTTCGTTTTAATAAAATACTCATAAAATTTTCTATGGCAGCTGCCGCCTCACCGGTGCTGCATGGAAATAGTGCGGGAAATTTTAAAAAAATTTAAACTTTTCTCTCCGAGCTTGGTCTGCAGAAATGTTTGTCGAGTGTTGGTGAAATGCTATCACTTCGACATGGATCTGCGACTTCCCATCGAATGCCATGTCCAGGCCAACACTCCTAGCATACAGATTGAGGTCTTCAGCGATCTCTTTCTCCTTCTGTGACCTCTTCTTCATCGTTCCACTTTTCTCCCGCTGGTAGTGTGCCCACAGCTCGATCAACTTCCCCTCCATCTCGTCATTGAACACAGCTTTCGGCATGCTGAACTTCATCTTCTCAAACTAGCTTCAACGCGACAGAAGGAAACAAACAACGTGCAACTACTCAAAACAAGGAACAAATCGAAAGGAAAAAAGAGCTGACGACAAGAGTCAAGAAGTCTCACGGAAGGACAGGTGCAAAGCAAACTACGGTCCAGAAATGCAAATAGAACATAAACGCGCCTTTGTATACCCGTCTGGAGTTTGCTGAATACGTTTGCGCAACATTTTAGGTTTCCCGCGAAAAGGAGACCGTTTGCATGGTAACTTTTACAGGAACGCAACAAAAATGGGATTTTCTATGTAGTGTGCAAGGGGCCTTAAACCATGCCCGAACTTCCCTTGCTAGATTTCTCAAACTGTCAAGTCAGTGAGCTCTGGGTAACACAAACAGCAAAGACGAATGTACACAAGTCTTGATCTGTTTATGTGTTTGATGCTTGCACACATGGATGTGTTTGTGTTTATGTGTTGATATGTTGGATGCTTGCACACATGGATGTGTTTGTGTTTATGTGTGGATGTGTTTGATGCTTGCACACATGGATGTGTATGTGTTTATGCGTGTAGAATGCTTGCACACATGGATGTACGAGATCAAGGCACAGGGCAATTGATCATGAAGTTGTGGAATCTTGCCAGCAAAACCGGCGCAGCTAGCAGGAAAACAATGGTAGGTGACTTGTGCTATGGAGAATGTGCCTTTGTATGTGTTTGAGACAGACAGACAGACAGAGACCGAGAGCGCGTATGTGTGTGTATGTGTGTGTGTGTGTGTATGCGCGTGTGTGCGTGTGTATGTGTGCGCGTGTGTGTGTGTGAAGAAAACCTATAAGCCCATTGCGAAATGTAGAAGGTATGAGTGATGCATGTGAGTGCGCTGGGATCAGCAATATACTGTTCAACACCCCAGACGACCACACCCAGGTGGCTGTGTGGGGTGTTCGTGGCACAAATTACGTCATTGCGCAATGGGCTTACTAGAGCTGTTTGTATGCACAGTGCTACTGTTCTCTGAAATCAGATCACGTGACGTAAGTCTAGTATAGCCTCTCTGCTGGGCCAGTACAGTCAGTGGTGGAAGGTGATTTCTCAGTTTTCTGCTAATGTTTACCTGCGCACACATTGTACTTACAAACAGGTTTCACTAGTGTAAGCCTAGGCTGTGCACGGTGTTAGACGCGGTTAGACGGTGTGTGTATGTGTGTGTGTGTGTGTGTGTGTGTGTGTGTGTGTGTGTGTGTGTGTGTGTGTGTGTTCATTCTCCTGGGTGGTTACCAACAGCCAGTGTATGCCGGAGTATGTGGTGTGGTGTGCACGGCTGTCAAGAAGCGGCAACTTAGAAAGATGGCGTCGGTTCGAGATGGCATGGTAACCGCGCACGTGCCGTGGTACATGGTCCGTGACTTGCTCATGTATGCACGCAAATGCAAGTCACAAACTCTTGCATTTTGGAGAAAATATCTTCGACTCTCTTTGGAGGTTGGCGAGGTTTGCCTAATCTTTACTTGATTGCGATGCCGGTATGTCCTCTCAATAATTAGAACAAAGAGAGCTGATGATCGCTTCATTGCTGAGCAGAAGTAACAATCAACTCTCCTCATGTCCTCAGTGCCAAAGGCAGACGACTGCAATTCCACACCGCTCATTTCACGATGATGGAAACAATAATCGTGTACTAGTACACACTTGGACCATTTGGTCATCCCTGTTCTAGCCGCTAGTCCGTCCAGCAAGCAGATATTGACTATTACGATAAGTACAACTGCGTGAACGAGGGCTCACCCAGCAAATTCAATTCAAGACGTGACTCCAGTCAAGAATTAGGGTCTTTACTCGAGAACTTCACAAATACAGGTCAAGGCACCCCACAAAAACTGATAGATGGCACGAACGAAAGACAAATAGGCTAGACAAAGTGTCCCAAGTGATTGAAAACAGCAGATCTACCAAATAAGACAGCTACATGTGCCTAAACAACGATTCCCATACAGTAGAGAGTAGTATCAGGCAGAATGAAAGCCTTGGAAGTGCACAAATACAGCCACGACCGCCACAAAAATTGGACGACCGCCACAAAAAAATTCTCATTGCTCTGCCTCCTTGAAGGGTGAAAGTTACCAGTTATCCTATAGTGATGTCAGTTTATGCCTGTTGGAACCCCCCACAGCCCGCACGAAATACCTTTCAAATAATTCCAGGATGCAATTGCAGCTCCAGACAGGAGGAAGAAGAACACCGTGAAAAATAACGGCAAAGATGCCCAAACTCTCGGGAAACGGCTGAAGTCTTCCTGAAGATGTTAACATTGAATAGCCATCGATTACCAGCGTGGTTTGGTGACTTTAGAACTGTTTTGAGACTTAGAACGAAGCGATATCTCAAATTTGATGGAATTGTTACCTGTCAAATGCGTGGGCGAGCAGGCCAGCTGACTGGTTATGCATGAACATGCATAAGCATGCATTGATTTTTCATGGTTCACGTGCAGAAAACTAAGTTGCCGCGATCCAAGTGCAGCTAACAGCCGTGTGTGTGTGCGTAAAAAAATGGAAAAATGAAAAATAGGGATTCTCTGGCCAGAAAAAGTCACTTCAAATGTGTGGTGGATACCAGGCTAAAAATAGTGGCGGTCAATTCATCAGCCTTGCAAGCTGTTGAATGGTGTAATCCGAGCACAAGTTGCTATGTCTAACATAGCTGTTCGCTATCATCGCTTCTGCGATGGGCATGTCTGAGGTCTGAGGTGTGTGTGTGTGTGTGTGTGTGTGTGTGTGTGTGTGTGTGTGTGTGTGTGTGTGTGTGTGTGTGTGTGTGTGTGTGTGTGTGTGTGTGTCCCATATGGTGCAGTGGTATGTGCAGCGATTTCCAATCGATAGGTTGCGGGTTCGATTCCCGACGATTATGGTCACACACGTCTTTCTTCTCTTTCTCAGACTCTTCCTGACTTTTCTTTCATTCTCCTGGGTGGTTACCAACAGCCAGTGTATGCCGGAGTATGTGGTGTGGTGTGTGTGTAGAAAAAGAAAAAAAATAGAAAAAATAGAAAAAATGGAAAAATGAAAAATAGGGATTCACTGGCCAGAAAAAGTCACTTCAAACAGCTGTGTGGTGGATACCAGGCTAAAAATAGTGGCGGTCAATTCATCAGCCTTGCAAGCTGTTGAATGGTGTAATCCCAGCACAAGTTGCTATGTCTAACATAGCTGTTCGCTATCATCGCTCCCGCGATGGGCATGTCTGAGGTCTAAAGTCTGAGGTGTGTGTGTGTGTGTGTGTGTGGGTGTGTGTGGGTGGGTGGGTGCGTGTGTGCGTGTGTGTGCGCGCGCGTGTGTGTGCGCGCATGTGTGTGTGCGCTTGCGTGTGTGTGGGTGTGTGTGTGGCCATTTCTGCACATTATTCTGTTCACAGGCACAAACGGCTGAGTATGCCAAGTCGTTGTGCGATCGGACTGGGTACGAGGTCTACGGCAACATCGCAACAAGAATCTCCGTCACCTAGCGGGCATTGCTGCCGTCCGTCCACATCCCACATAGCACTTTTCTCACTCCACCCACAGACACAGTGTTTGTTGTGTGTGGGTGGGTGTGTTGATAGCTAGGTAGTGTTTTTACTCTATTTCTGATTGCAATCAGTAACAGCCAGAGCATCAGCCCAAGGAGACACGGAGTACAGCAGGGCTGAGAACGTGTAGCAGCTAGGTCGTGTGCGGCGTTGCTTGTTTAACGGTACACAGGACACAGCCTGTGTGTGTGTGTGTGTGCGTGCGTGAGTGTGTATGTGTGTGTGTGTGTGTGTGGGTGGTGGGTGTGTGTGTGTGGGTGTGGGTGTGTGTGTGTCTCTCTCTCTCTCTATCTATCTATCTATCTGCCTTTCTCTCTTCCCCTCCGGTTTCAAATCAGATTAATTTCACATGCGTTATTTTTTGATCAATGTTGCTTGTTACCAATGCAAAATTTAGCTTATCTACATGACCTGTGTTCATTTGTTCAAAGTCATTCCGTATCCAAACCAAGTGAAGAAAAGTCATTTTTCCACAATACCCAGAGAACACAGGTCATGCGTATACAGTGTTAGAGTAGCAATATTACTACTTTGTGTGCACAAGCTGCGCTTAGATCCAGTGCGCAGAGGTTATTGTCATGGCTTCGTGTATGTGTGTATGTGTGTGTTTGTGTGTGTGTGTACACGTGTGTGTTTGTGTGCGTGTTTGTTTGTTGCTGGCTCGGCAAACTTCACATGTTTCTAATATCTTATGACGTAATTATGACTCACTGCATGCTGCTGCTGCTGCTGCTGCTGCTGGTGGTATTGTTATTTACTTGTGACCTGGTGCAGTTTGTTATGTTCATTATTTTCGTTATGCTGTTTGGTATGCAATTTCCGCTTTCATGTATCATACAATGTATCTATATCATTGCTACAATCTACTAGCATCTTTGACTGAATACCGTGAACGCCCACTACTACTATAGACGACATCTGTGTGTGTGTGTGTGTTTGTGTCGGTGTGTGTGTGTATGTGTGTGTGTGGGGGGGGGGGGGGGGGTACGTGTGTACTGTCCGGCCATGGACTGTTGAAGTATGAGACGTTTGTGGCGTTTAAAGCCCTGGCCTGTGTGTGTGCACATCGGCTGGCAACATACAATGTACATATGTATAGTGCTGCTCAACGGAATCAAGTACGCACCGGGCGTTGCACATCCATAATTATACCTAATCTTTCTCGTAACTCCGAGTTTCGTGTTGATAAACACTCGTCAGACGTCTGATTCGTGTTTATCAACACGAAACTCGGAGTTACGAGAAAGATTTTTGGTCTCTGTTGTTCTGCAGTACGCTCTGCCCATTTTGAGGTATTGAGCAGGGTGCCATATACATTATTATGGTGTGTGTAGGGCTCCCTGGTATTTAGCACTATTTGCAGCAAGGACTTTTAAAAGACACTCTGTAGGCAGCATCATTGTACATGTACAATGATGTGGATCTACTTCAGTGCATGTACCCATTGTTGTTGTTTTTTGTTTCGTCTTCGTTTTGTCTCCCCTTCTTCCGTAGGTATGTGCATCTGTGCAATGTGATAAAAAAATAAAAAATAAAGCTGTTTTTCCAGCCGCGCGTGCTACCCACAGTCACTGGGAACTAACCCCTTGTGCCTGGCCACAAGTTACACGAGTTAGTTACTTGTGGTCAGGCAAAAGGGGTACATGGTTGCAGCTAATGGGGTTTCTCTGCACTTGTGCCAGTGGTTCATGCGAGACTTATCCACTCACCTCCGCCGTTAGGCGCTGCATCTGCCACTAGGGTTTACCGGGTGTTAGCGGCCGCCACGAGTTCCCTTCCGGAACGGACACGATAATTTACTTTACTGGTTACCATGGTTACAGAGTAGACCTACGACTCGCACCTCCTTACTAGTATACGAGGTGAATTGCTATTTCTGGACATTGTACATTTCTGGACATTTCGAGTAAAATAATTTTTCGTCGCGTGTAGAGTCAAGTCAGTCAGGTTGATGAAGTTTTTTCTTGCCACTTCAGACGCTGTATAGTCTTGGACCTGTTGGCTGGAAGTGTGAAGAGGCCAACTGCAGTCCAGCAATAGAAAAAATAACAAAAATGGTGCAGTATAGGATGCCTTTTGACGCTATTTTACTTTCATGTCCAGAATTCCATACACTGAAATTTAGGCCAAAGAATTGGCCTGTCGAAAACGTCCTGCTATAAAGTCTCTGGGATCACAGCATGAGCAATTGTCACATATTTGGAAAGATGAAGGATTAGGCCATACAATAGATACAAAAAGATATGAAATATGTAAAACACACAGCCTGTGGGGCTCTATTTTATTTTCATGTCCAGAAATTGCTATTCACCTCGTGCTGTATGGGCTATGCAGCCTGCTTTGGATCTTAGCCTTAGCATGGCGTCAGTGTATACCTGGTATACCAGGGAGTCGTAAAATACCGGTATTTTACGACTCCCTGGATATACCCATTATGGCCATACCATGATCATGACATTGTGTTGTTGTTGTTGTTGTTTCTTTATTTTACTTCACCATATGAACAGGCAAGACTGCCTTCTCACCGGGGCTGTTGGCCCACGGCTCTCACAATATGATGAAAATGTTTAAAATGTGTATGAAGAAGAAAGGAACGGAAAAGAAGATGAAATGTAAGGAAAGAAAACAGTAGGTATTAATTTTATGAAGGGGGGGGGGGGTATGAAATGGGTATTATCATAGTTGATGAGAGAAGTATGATATACAATATTCTTGTTCTATAGACTATTTAGTACGGGCATTTCATGAGAGTCATGCATGGGCAAGGCAGGATTTGGACTAGGATAGAGGACAAGAACATAATTGATGAGCATCTGTTCAGGCAGAATCTGTGAAGAAGACATAGTAGGCACAACATCGGAGAGCTAGTTGACGAGGGAGATGAGGTCATAGCCAGACAGCAATGCTTGAAACGTGTGGCGTACGTCGCAAGCGCGAATATCAGCAGGGAGAGAGTTCCATGTGGTACTGCCAACAAAGGCGATAGAGCTACGGCCTGAGGGACCAGGTAGGAACGGCACTCTGAGCAGCTGGCTGACCTGTGTACTGGTATCGGATCCAACATGGCTAGAGAAAATTTCTTTCTATGGAGTATGGTATGGTTTCCAGCAGGGAGTCATTATTACTAGTAGTATACCGTACGACTCCCTGGTTTCCAGCCTGCCACGTACATGTATGATGATTACTGTACAATCATGTACAACTACATGTACATTGTATACATAATATTATAGGTGTGCTGGTAAATCCAACAATTTTGAAGCCAACATAAAAAAAGGAAGAAAAAGCCCCCCCCCCCCGCCCCCCCCCCCTTGGCTGCATTTTCTTGCATGTGTGCCTTTATAATAATAATCCATCACCATAGGTTCTGGTACTTCTGCATGACAGATACGTGTATGTACTTGACTGACAGGTACATGTACACGTACTTGAAATAGCTGTCAAAAGCCCAGAAAGTCGTTATTCAAGCAGTGAATATGACCTCGGGGCACTAAAAGCATGTCGCTATACGCGAATTGTCGTTATTCAGATAGTCGTTATATCCGAAGTTAAATGTATACAGTTAGATGGGACTTTGCTCTGGGCATGGAAATTCGGTCGTTATTCGCGAATTGTCGTTATATCCGCAGTCGTTATTAGCGAAGTTGACTGTACATGATACAGTACAGTTTCTTTGGTAATGGTGTTTCATTTACTTTTGTATTTTCAGTTCGTTTTCTTTGTATTTAACTCCTCATTGTTTTTTTACCAGGCGTGGGCCATCCCCTGACTTCATATAGGTGCCAAACATTTTACGTTTTTCATTTCTATTTTGAGAGTTTAATAAAAACATTTCACCACGGGCTTTATCGGCTCATCAAGGCCACCGCGGTGGACACTACAAACATCTCCGGAATATGTGCTGCGAGTTTGATCTCAGGAATGTTGTCACTGCTCCCACTCGTCATGGGCAGACCTGCATCGATTTGGTACTTGTTTCCACTGGAGTCCAGCTTACACAGACAGCAGTGCACCCTGTGGACGGTATCAGCGACCACGACCTAGTTATAACCCACCTAACATATCCAACCATGTCTACCTGTCCACTCTACACCAATATCAGGAAGCCGAGCGCCACAGAAATAGACCGGGACGCTCTATGCCGAACCGTGGACGAACAACTGACGTCATTCCCCCTTGCAACAGATGTAAATATCTTGGCGAACAGCCTAACAGCCGTCCTCACGTCAACTTACGACAAACTTTGCCCCGTCCGTCGCATCTGCGTACCATCCTTCAGCAAACCCAAACCTCAACCCTGGCTGACTCCTCACCTGCGATATCTTTTACAGCAGCGTAAGCATTTGCACAGAAAGGTTCGGTCACGTCCCTCTGATCAACAACTAATGCAACGGTACCGGGCAGTGAGAAGGGAAGGGACACTTCTGAACAGGCGCCTGAAGTCGGAGTTCCTAATGCAACAGTTCAGAAACATGAAGCGTGACCCCAGAGGCCAGTGGTGTCTCTTAAATAAGCTCTCTGGTCGAGCCACCACGAAATCCACCCCTGCAGCGCCACTTCCAGCACTCACTGCAACATTTGCGGCAGTTGTCCACGACCCAGCCAGGCCAGGAGTGTTGCAGATACCAGCCGACAGGGATCCGACAGCACCTAGCACCCTGACTGACTTCACCTTGGTCAACACTGAAACAGTTGAGGCTCTACTGACTACTCTAAACTCCCACAAGGCCGCGGGTTCGGATGGCATTCCTCCCTGCATCTTAAAGTCATGCAAAGCAAATATCACGGCCTCACTAACATCCATAATCAATCAGTCCCTACTTTCTGGCGTTTTTCCAGCCTCTTACAAGCATGCACACGTGTGCCCACTCTTCAAGTCCGGGGACAAACTTGCAGCCACCAACTACCGGCCAATATCTCTGCTGCCCGTTGCCTCCAAGATATTGGAGAAGGTTGTCCACCGGCAGATTACTGAATTCTTCCGTGACCACCCAGAGCTGTCCGCCTTGCCGCTGGAGCAGTTTGCGTACCGTCCAAAGCACAGTTGCGAAGATGCCCTCGCTGTTTCCATAGACAGGTGGACAAGAGCACTGGACAATGGCCAGCGATGCGCGATACTGTTCGCAGATATGAGCAAGGCTTTCGACCGTGTACAGCATCAACAACTGGTCAACGAGCTGGCTGACGTAGGGCTAGGCGGCTCGGTGCTGAAGTGGTTCGTGGACTATCTGTCCTCCAGAAGTCAACAAGTCGTGGTCAATGGGGAGCGTGGTGGGACTGTGCCCTGCACCAGGGGAGTTCCGCAAGGGTCCGTCCTTGGCCCCCTCCTCTTTTGCGTCTACATCCGCAAGGTTCCACAGATTGTTCGGAACAGTATTTCTCAGCTCTATGCCGATGACATCGCCTTTTTCGTCATTGGAACGGACCTCTCTGTCATGCTGCGAAAGCTTCAGGATGACCTTAGCGCTCTGGAGCTCTACCTTGATGACAAAGGACTTCTCATGAACCCTGACAAGACGCAGTTCCTGGTCCTTCGGCGCCCACGCCAACCTGTGCCGCATCTACCAATCCCCCTAGTTTGTAAAGGCAAGCCCCTCACCCCTGCAGCCACCGTGAAGTATCTCGGACTACTCATCGACGAGCATCTCACCTTCCAGCCGCAAGTCGAGAAGGTCTGCGGTGCGGTGTTCGGCAAGATTGCCGCCTTCAGACATGGCCGAAAAAACCTAACACCTGAAGCGAAGAGGACGTTCTATTTATCCATTGTGCAATCGACTCTCGACTATGCCAGTAACGCTTATCTGCACTGTCTCAGCGCCACCCTGTTCAATAAAATCGTGACGGTCAGTCACATAGCAATGAAGAAAGTTTTTGGGTTTGACCGTATGATGTCTACTGAAAT